CCCCCCCCGTCGCCAAAAAAATTTTGGTCAGTGTACCATTTTAAGGGTCAAAAAAATTTTCCGGACAACCAATATTTTTCGGAAGATAACACAAATTTTCCAAAAATCACAAAATTTGCCAAAAATTTTACTTAATTTTAGACAAAATGAACAGAATTTGTCCCATTTTTTTTATTGCATACCAAAATTGCCCGACTGTTGTTCGAATATTGCCCGACTGCCCAAAAAACTGGGGGGGCTACCGCCCCCCCCCCCGCCCGGTACGCCTATGAGCTTTGCCGCTTCAAATTTACGCCATTAGTTATTGGCATAAAATGTCACAGTAAACAAACTTTCACGCTTCAAATTTACGCCATTAGTTATTGGCGTAAAATGTTACAGTAAATAAGCTTTGCCGCTTCAAATTTACGCCATTAGTTATTGGCATAAAATGTCACAGTAAATAAGCTTTGCCGCTTCAAATTTACGCCATTAGTTACTGGCGTAAAATGTTACAGTAAATATTAAGCTTTGACGCTTCAAATTTACGCGGCCCATTAGTTATTGGCATAAAATGTCACAGTAAACAAACTTTCGCGCTTCAAATTTACGCCATTAGTTATTGGCGTAAAATGTTACAGTAAATAAGCTTTGCCGCTTCAAATTTACGCCATTTGTTACTGGCGTAAAATGTTACAGTAAATAAGCTTTGCCGCTTCAAATTTACGCCATTAGTTATTGGCGTAAAATGTTACAGTAAATAAGCTTTGCCGCTTCAAATTTACGCCATTAGTTACTGGCGTAAAATGTTACAGTAAATATTAAGCTTTGACGCTTCAAATTTACGCGGCCCATTAGTTATTGGCATAAAATGTCACAGTAAACAAACTTTCGCGCTTCAAATTTACGCCATTAGTTATTGGCATAAAATGTCACAGTAAATAAGCTTTGCCGCTTCAAATTTACGCCATTAGTTACTGGCGTAAAATGTTACAGTAAATATTAAGCTTTGACGCTTCAAATTTACGCGGCCCATTAGTTATTGGCATAAAATGTCACAGTAAACAAACTTTCGCGCTTCAAATTTACGCCATTAGTTATTGGCGTAAAATGTTACAGTAAATAAGCTTTGCCGCTTCAAATTTACGCCATTTGTTACTGGCGTAAAATGTTACAGTAAATAAGCTTTGCCGCTTCAAATTTACGCCATTAGTTATTGGCGTAAAATGTTACAGTAAATAAGCTTTGCCGCTTCAAATTTACGCCATTAGTTACTGGCGTAAAATGTTACAGTAAATATTAAGCTTTGACGCTTCAAATTTACGCGGCCCATTAGTTATTGGCATAAAATGTCACAGTAAACAAACTTTCGCGCTTCAAATTTACGCCATTAGTTATTGGCATAAAATGTCACAGTAAATAAGCTTTGCCGCTTCAAATTTACGCCATTAGTTACTGGCGTAAAATGTTACAGTAAATATTAAGCTTTGACGCTTCAAATTTACGCGGCCCATTAGTTATTGGCATAAAATGTCACAGTAAACAAACTTTCGCGCTTCAAATTTACGCCATTAGTTATTGGCGTAAAATGTTACAGTAAATAAGCTTTGCCGCTTCAAATTTACGCCATTTGTTACTGGCGTAAAATGTTACAGTAAATAAGCTTTGCCGCTTCAAATTTACGCCATTAGTTATTGGCGTAAAATGTTACAGTAAATAAGCTTTGCCGCTTCAAATTTACGCCATTAGTTACTGGCGTAAAATGTTACAGTAAATAAGCTTTGCCGCTTCAAATTTGCGCCATTAGTTATTGGCATAAAATGTCACAGTAAATAAACTTTCGCGCTTCAAATTTACGCCATTAGTTATTGGCATAAAATGTCACAGTAAATAAACTTTCGCGCTTCAAATTTACGCCATTAGTTATTGGCGTAAAATGTTACAGTAAATAAGCTTTGCCGCTTCAAATTTACGGCATTAGTTATTGGCATAAAATGTCACAGTAAATAAGCTTTGCCGCTTCAAATTTACGCCATTAGTTATTGGCATAAAATGCACTGTAAATAAACTTTCGCGCGCTTCAAATTTACGCCATTAGTTATTGGCATAAAATGTCACAGTAATATAACTTTGGCGCTTCAAATTTACGCCATTAGTTATTGGCATAAAATGTTACAGTAAATAACTTATTGTGATCCAAATTTACGCCATGAGTACCGTTAGTTAATGTCACAGTGGAAAAAATTCTAGAAACGAAAACGATTTGCTGTGTTTTTGGACAGTGTCTGTCATCTTACATCGTAAGACTTTAATTAATAATCCTCTTACCAAATTTAAGTGCCTTTTGGCCTTGGAATATATATATAATTAAGCTAGGACGTGCATATGGGCTTTTCATAGCTTTTCCTCTTGGAGCACTAAGTGGTAATATTTTCTATTCGGCAAAGTTTCATGTTGCCGCCTCTACGCATTTTATACCCTCAGTCCGGTCAAACTGCACATGTTCCCTCTCGGGATAACGCCAGCTCTTCTCTATAACACTTTTACAGAAATGCACCACCTCTAAGTATAATACTTTTACCGCCAATTCGGTCAAGCTATACATTTTGTGAAAGTTGTGATAAATATAGTTTCACTTGTAGGAAATCAGGTTTTATATTCATAGGCCTTCATAGCATGTTCCCTCTCGGAATAACACCAACTCTTCTCTATAGGAATGCACCACCTCTAAGTATACCACTTTTACCACCAATCCTGTCAAGCTGCACATTTTGTGAAAGTTGTGATAATACAATTTCACCTGTAGGAAATTAGGTTTTCTATTCATAGCAGGCAGTTCGCTCGCGGGATAATACCAACTCTCTCTATAACACTTTTACAGAAATGCACCACCTCTAAGTACAATACTTTTACCGCCAATCCGGTCAAGCTGCACGTTTTGTGAAAGTTGTGATAATATAATTTCATGCAGCTGTAGGAAATTAGGTCTTATATTCATAGCGGGCAGTTCGCTCGCGGGATAACACTGTTCTATATAATACTTTTACCAATACTTTTACCTTTACCATACTACTTTTTGCCACGCCTCTAAGTATTACATGTAAGGCCGAGACACATCGGACGCGACTCGATAAGGCGACGCGACTTGTCAGTTTTTAAAAGTTTACTTAATAAAACAGCCAATGAAAGGAAATTTTAAAAGATATGTGTAGACCAAATAACTCTTCTGAAGATTTGGAAAACTTAAACCATAATCACTAGCTGTTATCGTTTATTGAAAATCGAAAAATTGCGCCGCGTTGTCGATTTATTCGCGTCCGGTGTATCTCGATCGGCCTTAACACTTATACCGTCATCCCGTATGGGCACATAGCCTTATCTTCTCTTGCGTGCAACACAACTGGCACTACCTCTATTTCTATAACACTTAACCGTCGCACGTATGTGGAACAGGGAGTAGGGATTAATAGGATTTTGGAGGGACATCACCTCGACAATCTTCTCTACTTGAAAAGCGCATTTTCCCATTGTTTTATACCTGGGGAGGAATATACTAAAGGCATTTAGTGGAAAACTGTGAGGTATATGAACCTTCTGCGATGCCTACGCCAATATATATCAAAGTTGTGAAAAAGGAAGTTTTGCCTCGGAAGGACTTTAGTTTTTATATTAATAATCGTTTTCCCTTGCAGAAAACATTGCCATGCACCAACTCAAAGTATATATCACACTTTTACCGCCAATCTGGTCAAGGCGCCCATATTGTGAAATTGTATTAATTAATATAGGTTTGACTTGTCGGAACTTTTCCATTGCAGGGCCGGGGGAGCGTTAAATGACCGAATCATCCTCACAGTCCTAGATATTAATACGAATATATATATATATATATATATATATATATATATATATATATATATATATATATATATATATATATAATATATATATTATATATATATAATATATATATATATATATATATATTATATATATATATTATATATATATAATATATATATATATATATATATATATATATATATATATATATATATATATATATATATATATATATATATATATATATATATACTAAGAGAGAGAGAGAGAGGAATTCGAGAACGGTATTAAATGACGTTTCGATCCTTAGTTGCATGTATTTTAATTCACGTTGTATGTGTATGTATAAAGATTGCGTTAGTATCTTTTACTTTTTAAAATAATCACTAAATTGTTCAACGCAATTAGAATTCGTTCTAATTGCCAATTAGCACCACTATAGAAATCGCGGCTTATTTAGAATGTGCTAAGTGGATTGACTGCCAGATAAGCGGCGAAACAAACATCCTGAAAGAAAACTGTCCAATTAAATCCTACATCTCTGCATTTCGGTCCAATCAGAGAAAACCACCAAACAATATATAAGATTAGCCTAAGTTCTATGATGCGGATTCAAACTTGGTTGGGACAAGACGTGGCAAGATAAAACAAAGTTGCGAGAGTGAAGATAAACTTTTAATTGGTGAAAGGCAGCGCTAGTTTTCCTGGGCAAATCGTTTTTACTTTGGTTTTCTACGAATTTTTGAGGTATGTTTGTTGTTAATATTTCTACAGTATTTTACTATATGATCGTTTTATTTGCTAGTGTTGTTTGTTTTTCGAAATTTTGAAGGGTTTATATTTTAAATGTTGCGACTGCATGAGCAAAAATGCTGTTCATTTTCATACTTTTTGGATGTGCAGTTTTCGTACTTTTTGGATGTGCGTTTATTACATTAACAAGCGTTTTGGCTAGGACAACGAGGCAGTTTTCACAATGCACGTATTAAAAGTATCAATTTCTTTAAAATCTCTAGTGATGGCCCTGAAGGGGCTGTTTATTTTGCGCCAGCCAACCCGGGAACCGGAGCCGGCCTAGCCTGCATAGCAGGAGCTAGCCTGGTTTTGGCGATCCACCTTTCACTTGCGACAATAGATTTGCGCGCAGTTTCGCCAACAAAAATAAAAAACCCGCTTTGTTTACATTTTGAACTCAGTGCTACAGTTGTAAAATGTAATTAGACATATATTATATACTTAATTTTTAACACTCTTCTGGTTCGCTATGCTTGTAAATGAATACAGACTAGAGATTCAATTCAAGAAAGTTCGGAAGGTGCGAAATATTAATAACATTCCAATGGCAGGGTCCCGACCATTGGAATGTAGGCCTGCGCAGAACGTATGCGCAGAACGAACTTTACAGCATCTTTTAATTTAAGGAATATTACTTATATGTTCAAACTATCCGTGGCCGGTTGATGTACTATTTTAAATTAGGGCAGATCAGTAGATCTAAGTAGCCAGAAACGCATATTTTCACCTCTGTGCCTAATTAATTAAGTACCATTCATTATTTATCCCCAGGTGGGCTGGCAAAAAAGAGGGTGGGTCATGAGGTATTTTTGACCGAAAAAGGGGTGCTATCTAAAAATATTGGTTCAGAAAGGGTGTTCAGTTATTTTATTATAGTGGAGAAAGTTTGGCATGTAACTATGATTGCTACCGCAGGGAGAGAGCAAGGCAGCAAATTTAATTCATGTAGCAGGCGAAATTCTCAATTTTAATCAACAGATAGACCCAAAATGCAATGCGCAAAATCCCGATTATGCGCTCAGCTAATATGAAAAACAATAGAACACCTACCTTATAACTTTTGCCATGGACTTGACATAACTTTTTATCATGTTTCTCTTAATCGGGTAACCTCTGTCGGTTTACCCGATCGGGCAAAACGCGGATATGCCTTTTAAAGAGCCGAAAAATATATGTTACACCATATCCGCATTTAATACGCGGATTTCGGCGGATATGCCTTTTAACTGAGCCGAAAAGTATATTTTACACAAAAACGCGAATATGCCTTTTGAAGAGTCGAAAAGTGTATTTTACACCATACCCGCGTTCTACCCGATCGGGTAAAACGTGGATATGCCTTTTAAAGAGCCAAAAAGTATATTTTACACAATATCTGCGTTTTACCCGATTGGGTAAAAAGCGGATATGATGTTTAAAACATATTTTCGAGAAAAATAGGTCATTCGTCAGTCCGTCCGTACCAGCGTTTTACCCTAACCCGCTTATTTAGGCCGATACGTATGATATGATATAACCATTCCCGGCTAGTTTGTGGACGACTCAAATCATTGCTCTTTCACAAGCCTCAAATGTCGGGCTTAATTCGAGCGTCGAATATTTTCAATGACTTCCAGTTAAGCCCCTCTTTTTCACGGGGTAGGTATTTTTCGAGTTAAGCCCTTCGAGTTAAGCCCTCTTCGAGTTAAGCCCCTTCCATGCCCTTTTTCGCCGGAGGCTTAACTGTGGCTTACCTCGAAGTCAATTAACGATTTAAGCATTCCGATTTAAGCCCCGACATTAATTTAGACGGCTGGCCAAGTCATCATTTTGTGCAACTGGATGGCAACTTTATGTTAGAAGCTGGTAACAGGCATTTTCGTATAGTTCAAGCCTTGGTGAACAAGACTACATGTGTTACCACTTCTGATTTTTGCTTTATAGCCAAAAATTTGAGAATTTTTAAATTTTGCCTATTAAGGTCGTTGCAATATTGATGAAAACAGGATTGAACAATGTTGTGCGGCCCGATTCAGGCTCAACAATATTGTTCAATATTGTTGACAGCTGTGAACAATCTGGGCAGCACAACATTGTTCAATCCTCCTAAACAACAGGCTCATAATTTTTACGCATGTATGATTGGTCTAAATAGAACCTATTTCAAGGAGTAAATTCATGTTTTAAGGAGGCTCCCTACAGTTGACCCTATTTCTCAACATCTTTGCAGTACAGGCCTATTAATGCAGATCGTGCATTCTTTTCTACTTGGAGGCAATATATAACATCTATTTAGAACTCGGTTTTGATACCGTATAGTTAATTAGAAGAAAACACTCACTCTGTTCCACCTTTTAAAAATATACATGAAAAATTTCTCAATTCTGATTGGCTAAGAGCAGTGCAATTTCCAAAAAATGAAATACAGTACAAAAAAAGGAACACAGTGCAAATTTCTTAATTTTCTTAATTTTTTAATTAATTTCTAAACGTGACTAACGCATGCATGTGACTGCATAATTTTTTCATGCATATTATTATTAAGTAATATTATGGTTTCTCGTGCAATTTGAAAAAAAGATACGCTCGTGAGTTTTTCTAAGACTGAAAAGACTTCAAATTACTAACTCGTCCTTCGGACTCGTTCAATTTTGCCGGATAGCCTTTGAAACTAACTCAGTCGTGCATGTTTTCTTTCCAAATTCGGCAAAAATGCTGACCGTCATGCAGCCATGGTCCTAGCCAGTGCGCGTTTGAGATGCATTCATCCCCCTGATAATATTCAAAATGGCGGATGTCCAGGGGGGATGCCTCTCAAACGCGCACTGGCTAGGACCATGGCGTCATGGTAATTTTGCGGGCGCGTGTCGAAGAATAACACGCAAACATTGAATAGCTGTTTTCTTGTGATAAAGTGCAAATATTTTTATATTTTAGTTTTTACTTATATTTAAGTTGAAACTCAATGTAAAAAAATAGAGGCAGAGTGAGTGTCGAACTATTATTCCTTCATTAGTTATCGTTGGATAGATACCGATATTTCACAGCACACTCCATATCAGGGCTTTTCAGTGACTGGTTACATTATGAATAGCTAGATAGAACCGGACTGACGTGAAGCAGACCGAGGTAGACTTTGAGCTTACAAATGGCGCTTGAGCAGCAGCTATTAGTCCATACCTCATTAATGATCTGCCCCCTGATTTGGATATGTATGGCATATACGAAACTTTTGTGTTTTTTAATTCCAGTTTTCGTTTTTAACTTCCGTGTACATGTTTTGAAGTTGTTCAAAAAAGTAAGGGATATTTTTACTTATTTATATATAAACATTGGCCAAATTTCGCATCTTTCCTATTTTTTTGAAATGAAACTGCAGTTTATATTCTTATAGTTCTTACGAGTATAGCGAACCAGAACGTGTATAATTTATGCACGCAGTATACAGGGCATGCCAAGGTGTACGAATAATGTAATTAATGGTATATTTTTAGATTATATACAATGGTAAATCTCACTTATATAAGGGAAGCTGCTCTAAAATCGTGTGCTTTACAAATATATTCTCATTAACAATACTAGGTCAATAGTTAACGCTGTCAATATTTTAGGTATGTTTTATACGCCGAATTTCGGTCACGTCGAATGCGATTAAGGCCTGTTTCAAACGTCGCATTTCGCATGTGTCGAATTCAATTGCTTGAATTATGTGCTTGCAAAATTCGACGTCTGAAACGATTAAATGCGACGTTTTTAATTGCGGTCGACCTTAACTTTAAATTCGACCCGACCGGTCGCATAATGCGAGCTAAGTGCGAGCTAAATGCGACCTGTTTCAGACGTCGCACTAATTTTGCATGTGTCGAATTCATTCTGCTAGGGTGGGGCTCGCGGAAAAAGTCTGGAATGAGGTAAAAGAAGGACGGCATGTGGTGTTAATGGATCAAATTTCGCGTGTAGGACATAGAATGGTAATAATTTCATATTTTTCTTGTGTGTTTGTGTGAAAAATAGTCAATAGCCTGATGTGAGTTTATATACAAGCGAAAATAAAGTCGCGAACAACTACATTTATACGGGACTACATAGTATTTTTTCGTGCTTTAAATAAGACGAGCCACGGCTTATTTAGTTATTTAGACTTGCTCCAAGTCTCTCTTTCATTGTCATATCGATCTACTATAGTGTACATTACATGACGTAGCACGGAGAGGCGGAGCGAGAAAGAGACTCCTTGTCAACTTGAAAGACTTGAAAGAAATGCAAAACTTGCTTTAATTCTTTTCCTTCAATTTCTTTCTTTATCATTTACTATAATGGAACTCATGTTATTTACATGTGCTAGATCAATACATATAAACACTGATAGAAAACAATTAAAGCAAGTCTTGCATTTTCGGTTCAGTTGACAAGTCTCTCTTTCTCGCTCCGCCCCTCCGTACTACGTCATGTAATGTACACTATAGTGGATCGATACTATATGACAATGAAAGAGAGACTTGGAGCAAGTTTACGGCTTATTTCGCTGGTATAGTCGTATAAATGGCCCTACTGACATACTGTGTTTATTTTTGAGCGAAACTTCGCTCTTGTTGTTTACGTAAAACCACAACTAGGTTAAAAATAAATGTCAATCTATTAATTAAAACTATCAAAGGGGCGTGTCTACACTCTACAACACTTACAATTTCGAATTAAATGCATGCAAAATGCGACGTTTGAATCAAACGTCGAATTTCATTGAATTCGCTCGAATGAAATGCGAATTGTATTCGACACATGCAAAATTCGACGTTTGAACCAGGCCTAAGTCAATAGAATAATGAGATGATATATCTCATTAAGCTTCAGCAGTCATAATCTATTGTCTTAGTTGCATTTCTCGCGACCGAAATTCAATGTATAAAACAAGGCTTATACGGAGTTACGCATCATTGCGTTCTAATAACAACAGATTACTTCAATAGTTTGCGCTTTTTTCACTTCCGAGTAGCGGGTGGAGGTATGCAGTCTCTGAGTGCCCTCTAGTTTTAAAATTTTATACTCTTCTCAAAAATCAAAATGACTCAGAAGACAATGAAAAAGGTAGTACTCATTCAGTTTTAGATTAAATGTATGCATGGTAGCAACCGGCCTGCTGGGAAATGGCCAGTTTTGATGATACATTTCTTCAACTATATCTTCCCAAAAGGTTTATGGTTGGCTTGTTTATATTAAACTTTTGTCGGTATACTGAAATTTCAACTAAAACTGTGCTTTGGCATCACCTAGCATAAGCAGCTAAACATTATATTTTCGTAGGAAGATGGACGCAATTAATTCGCGGGAACAATCAAATTATTTGAAGTGGTCCAGATTTCACAGTTTTAAACCGTCCCTGGAGTTTGTTGTGGCAAGAAAGAGGAATACCAAAGCAACGAAGAAGAGAAGATGTGAACTTGCCTTTGCTTTTTGGAAGCCCACTTGCTATTATCAAAAGGTTCATACCGACGTTGTTTCTTGTTTTTGTATTTCAGGAGACGTTGAATAATTTTAAATTTCTAATTTACCTCATTTGCATTTCAGAAAAAGACGATTAACTGCGTCGTAAAGAAATCAAAATAAGTTATTAGCAACGGAGAACTGGATAAATTGATTGCGTTATTTAAAGAAGAAGATTGTAAGACTTATCTTGCAGGTATGGGACACTTATCACGATGCATGGATTTTTCATATTTAAATTTCTACGTTAAAGGGATACGGCAATAAATTTTTTTATTATTTCATTTGGAAGAACTTTTAAAATTATATGTTAATCTCTTTTACCGATTTTGCGTAACTTTATTATTTCTTGAGATATTTGAACAGAAAAAATCACAAATCAGCGAGCTTTCCGCCATCTTGGAATTTGGCGGATATGCATGTGACATCATGAGCAGGGTCACGCAAGAATTTTATCCATAGAGCAATTGGTTATTATGAGCCCAAAATCATATACTTCAGTACTATTTGAAATAAAAAACTGTCTGACGACTTTTCAAACAAGACATAATGTTATTTGGTCATTTAGATGTAGTTTTATCTGGCTAACCATGCTTATGACGTCACTAAAATCACCGACAACGAGATAAAAATTAATCCAAGATGGCGGACAGCAAATTATTTTAAGTCAAAATATTTCAAGAAATAATAAAGTTACGCAAAACGGTAAAGGAGATTAACATACAATTTTAAAAGTTCTTTAAAATGAAATAATAAAAAAATATATTGCCGTATCCCTTTAAATGCACACATTCGAACAAAAAATGGCATACGTAGAAAATGTTACTTTTGTATCTTCATGGAATATTTATTATTATAACGCTTTCTTGTCCTTGTTCCTCATTTAAAAATACATTTTATCTGGCTTTTTTTGCCCAGACACTGCTTCTATTAGCTTGCGAATACTATCATCGGCCTTCTTTGCCCACAGTGATGGAGAGTCCGCTAGCCGAGGACAAACATTTCCTATACAACGCAGAATAGTTTACATTTAAAATTTATAGGCTTTCCCTCATCGACCAGGGAAGACCGATGACGATGATAGTTTGTATTTGCAGGCTACACTTCTGTCGACAGCTACTGATTATTTTTTAAAAACATCTTTTATAAGTACAATCACTTCGACGTGCACTATCACCCAGTGTTAGTGCGTAACAATTTTAAAATTGTTAGCCAACGAGTCATGTTTTTTTATCTGTAGATGATCATGTAAGGAAAAGTCTACAGAAGAGAAAAAAAGAAGAAAAGTGTATTCTGGGGGGGAAGATCTGATGTTAGATCCTGTAGCAGTGGAACTGTGTCCAGAACAAATAGGAAATGGTGCTACATCACGTGTCTTCAAAGGCAAGTTCTGCGAATCCGGAAAAGTTGTTAGGGAAGTAGCATGCAAAGAATTCATGGTTTCTATCACGCCAAAGCATAAGATTAGGTTAATGAAAGAAATAAGATGTTTAAAGCTACTCCGCCATCCTAACATACTATCACATTTCGGAGTTGATTTCAATCGCTCGCTGCTTGTAACCGCACTGCTCGAAAAAAAAATTGAAATTGATGGAGCAGTAATAAACATTCATAATGCTAGAGAGTTATTGGATACGCATGAGTTTAAGACTATTTCGTGGTCGACACGTATAAAAATCATGCATGGGGTCACATCCGGACTTTCATTTCTGCATGCCAAAAACATTGTTCATTGCGATTTAAAGGCTGCAAATGTATTCGTCGGCGACGATGGAGAGGATGGTTTGTTGGTCAAACTTGGTGACTTTGGGACAGCATTGTTTGATTTTGCACAATTCTCAGTTTCAGTAATGCCAGCTGCAACAAACACCGATAACTCTGTTATGTGCACAGCTGCATATACCGCTCCAGAACTACTCGAGAGGGGTGCAAAACCGTCGTTTGAGAGTGATGTCTACAGCCTCGCCATGGTCATGATCGAATTCTCTTTGCCAAGTCGTTCAACTCCTTGGGAAGGAGAGGTGGCGAATTCTTCCATTATCTCTGATTTTGTACGTAGAGGAGAACGACCATCTGTTTCAATAGAAGATCTCTCTGGGTTGAAGTCTGAAATGGCATCGCAGTGGATAAGACTACTTCGTGAATGCTGGGAGCAAAATCCAACAAAGAGACCTACCAGTGCAGAAGCGGCTTCGAAAATGTCATCCCTTTATAGTGAAGAATTTAGTGTCAAATACAAAAGCTTCCAGGAATGGAAAATCCAAAATCAAGACGTACTCTTCATTTCTTTGAACACTCACCAAGGAATGACCATTGAAGTAGTGGATGAATTAGTATGTGGTTTCGCTTCAAAAAATGAGACAATGTCATCAGAATTAAATCTAGATTTGACTGAGAACCTTTATCAAAACGACGGAAGCAACGCATGTGTGTACCTATGTTCAAAAATTGCGGACGAGCTTATAGACTCTTCTCTTTTGTGTGGCCAGGACAACCATATCATCGTTAAACGTGTTTCGGAGGACACAATACGGAAACTGCCAAAACGCATCAATTCTTCACGGTCGATTAGGGAATTAACAGATGTCGATCAAGCAATCCAAGTGATGAACCAGAATGAGGTGATTTGCAACAAGTACAATACGACGGAATTGTTGGAAAAACAGTCCTCTAAGACACTTCACGAAAAACATTGTTACTTAAAGAGAGCTCTTACTTGTTTAGAACAATCAGTTAACACCGACGGAAAGGCGTTCGCGATCTATTTGTGCAGGCCATTAGCTATTCTAGTAGGAGTACTACGTTCGTCTTTTATAATAGTGGACACTCATAAGGTACCCGAAGAGGCTGGCGGTACACAATATGGCTTAATAGTACAGTTCACTTTTGATACCGATAAAAAAGAGACGGTTATAGATAACATAGTGGAGTGGATATCCATTAGGATGAGAGCTTCAATTCAAAACTATTCCACAAGTTTGCATTCGTTAGTTCTCCTTCAAGTAATTAAAAAATCGGGAACTGACATTTTCGAGTTCGACATTTCAGATGTAGACGATGAAGAGCTTTTAAACGCCAGCCTGGAAGCTGAAAGAAACGAAGGTTATCTTCCCTCCGTCGTAAATGATCATTCTGAGCAGCAGCAAGTATCAGGTCAGTGCTTTGAAGTTGATGAACCTACGATGAAATGTTTAAATGCAAGCGTGGATATAAAAGGAAGTGAATGTTCGCCTTCACCAAAGTTAAACATTGGAAAAAATCATATTGGAGAGCAATCAGAAATCCAACAAATATCTTCACCAAGTGAGAACATAACAGTTAACGATAAAGATAATACAATTCACTTAACTAATTACATCCTTCCTAAAGATTTACCTGATGTCAAACACGACGATTCAATTGTTTGGAAGGGGCATTTGACTAGATTTGGCCTAAATTCATTGAACGATTTTCAGATGTATGCCATTCAAAGTGTTCAACTCGGTCGAGATACGATAGTTGTGCAAGCAACTGGAAGTGGCAAGAGTTTGTGTTTTCAGTTGCCTTCTCTTTTCGATCGCCAAAAATTTGTTGTTGTAGTGACCCCAACTATATCATTGATAAATTCACAAATTGAGGAATTGAAGAAACTAAACATAGATGCAATCGCTTTAGGAAGATCAGCAGGACAAGATGCACAGCGTAATGATGACAGGTTGTTTTACAACAATGGCACAAGTCCTCTTCCATCACTTGTGTTCATGACACCTGAGCATTTTGTCAATCGCGTTTGCTACAGTCTGGAAGAAAACAAAGAAAGCATCAAGTTATTAGTCTTAGATGAGGTGCACAAAATGTTTGATAGGAACTCCAATTTTCGTTCGTGCTATGATTTTTTCAAGGGAATTAAAGAAAGGTTTCCTTGTGTACCAGTAATGGCCCTAACTGCCACCTTAAGTAAGGGTCAGTTGCAAAGCTTGTGCGTTGACTATTTACGAAATCCCGTCCTTATTAAGAGTTCTATTAATCGCAGCAACATCAAATTAAACATCAAATCATATGTTCACACAAAAAAGAGTAAGTCAAGCGCAGATGGAAACTCAAGTTCGAAGGAAGGAATTTGGTGTGCATGTGCAACAGATATAAAGAACATAACTGGTGATGAATATGCGATAGTCTTTATGGATTTTCGTAGTGATGTTGAACTGATGACTTCGTCATTGAGGTTGCAAATAGGAGAAGAAAACGTGAAACCATATTACGGAAGCGGAATGACCCATGATGTGAAAAAGAAGAATGATACTGATTTCAGGGCAAAGGAGTTCCAAGTCTTGGTAGCCACGGAGTCGTACGAGGTTGGCACACATAACCCACATGTGGACAATATTTTCAGGGTAGGTTGCATGCGGAATCTTAGTGTTATCATCCAAGAATTTGGCAGAGCAGGAAGGAGTGGTAACAGCGCTGATGGCTTTCTTCTTATTAACGAATCGAAAGACGACCAACGTTTGGCTTTTGGACTAAATGCTGTACAAAGAATGAAGAGGAACTCTTAATAGAACAATTTGTCCAATCGTGGCGGTGGGTATACTCTATTTACACTGGTAGATGTTTAAGAGAGGAGATAATTTCCAAGTTTGGGGACGGTCAATTGGAGCTGCAATGTATAGATGAATGTTGTTCCAGTTGTGATATTAAAGATAAAAGAGACTTCAACGCTACACAAGCAATCAGCCTTTTTATGCAAGCTATTTTGGACCTTGGGCAACTGCAAACTTATAAGGAAGGGATAAAAGAAGATGTTGTAATTGGATGGTTACGAGGTAGCAAAAGAGATACATTCTCACTACCCGAACTTCAGAAGCTCATGGAAAATACACGAACATATTCTGCTGGTTCTAAGCAAATTGAAGATAAAGGGTCTCAGGGTTGGTGGTCAATACTGCTACGACAAGCAATTAATTTGGACTATGTAGACATAAAATTTAACATTACGAGATGCAAATCATTTACCAGATTATGGAGGCAGTACAGAGTTACCGAGAAAGGAAAGCAGTTTTTAGATGCTCTACACGATCCATTCTGAATCCAGCAAAAAATCCACTAAGTGACAAAATAAAGCGAAAGGAGAATGCAACCCGAAAAAGAAGCGGAAGAGGGCATCATCATCTTCCAAAAATAAAGGAATGCCTCAATAAATCGGAGAATTGGGTCAACTTAACAAGTATAGACCAATATGAATTCCCAGGATTCGAGTCAGGCACACAGAATTTGCAAACAAGCTTTTCATTCGTGGATGATTGTAGAAAGCTGACTTTTGCAGCAAATACTCGGCCCCATTTTATTTGGGAGGATAATCAGTTGTCGAAACGAGGAACGCAAACAACGAAGCACAGCATAAATACAGACGGTGTGGATACCTTACTGAATGTGAGACGAGGACCTTGTGAAGGTGTTAAAAAGTGCGCTGGTCCTGACTGTACCTACGCTGTGTCAAACAGACAAAAATTTAATCGATGCATACACCACAAAGGTGACTTTTCTCTAGTTTCAACTGGACCATGTCCTGCGCACATGGTTTACATATGGCCGTGTAGCGACGATGGAAAGCGATGGGTTGGTATTGTACCAGGCACTCAACATAATCACGGTAAACCAGCTCCGCATGTCATGTCAAGCAAAGTCAAAGAGGACATTCAAAGGGTTGTATCTAACGATAGTACTTAAACTACTAAGGATATTATGAAAGGACTTGGAATTGGTTATGTTTCCGCCGAAGCTAGTGCACCTGCAGCTAACGCTGATCGTGTCAGGAAGGAAAGGAAAATCGCACTTGGCAAGTTGATGTCTGTTCATAAAGAACTACGTCCACCAGATGAGGTTCTTTGTTTTGACAAAATTCGAAAGAAAGTGGAAAGCAAACAGTTGTACGATGACAGCACGAATATCAGCGAACAAGTGAACCGAATGATGGGACAATACCAAATGGAAGGATGCGAGTACATTTTCACACCCAGTAGGAAGTACGCTTTCTTTATGGCTCCATTTCAGTCAGCTCTTTTGAGTACAGCTGTGACTTACACGGGAAACGAGTCTTTTCCATACCTTTTGAACGTTGTAACTTTAAATGAACAAACGTGTGTGTATAACGCGGTATCACGAGTGCTATGCAGCAGACAAGACAGCGAAAGTTATGCAAATTCAATAACAAAAATGTTTGAAAAGGTTACAAAAGATCACGCTCATTTAATTTTTCGAATGGCCGTAATTTAAGGTCTATACTTGTGGATTTCGACGATGCTCAATATAAGGGATTGCAACAATGCTTGGGCGAAGAGCTAGCAAAAAAAGTAATCCGGGGATGCAGTGTCCACTGGCAACGGTCAGTTAACCGAGTATGTAAACTCGCTTGCCAGAGTGAAGATGAAATTCGTGTGTTCAAAGCTTTAGCTAAGAAAATTGAAGAAGAGCAAAACAAAGATAACGTTTTGCTCATTTTCGACGTGCTTTCAGGATCTAGAACATTACAAGACGCAAGGCAGTTTGTCAAAGAAGACCTACTATCAGAACTTGACAAAATTGACAACCATAATTGGACAAGACTTAAGCACTGGAGTAAATGGTGGTGTCGGGTGAATCATCTTACAATGTTTACAAGGGCGTTTATGGAAATGAAAGAGAAAGATTGGGAACAAGGGCCATGTACCACAAATCCAGTCGAGTCTTTGAACAGACAATCTTTACAGGAAGGTTGTACTATTATTCAAGCTTTGATGGAAAATATTTACCTCGAAGATCGGCCTGCATGTTGTAAAAACAGCAGCTTGCAAAGATAACGTAACAACATCATACAAAGCATCACCTATTAAACCGAAAAAACAAACGAAAGCGCACAAGTGTTGGCAATTCAAAAGATGAAGGTCCACCGGATAAACGCAGACATCTGCTTTCCAATAAAAGGATGCCGAGTGGACGAACTTTGATCAATCGTCTCATTGAAGTGGAATATGACGAAAAGGACAAATCAGGAAAGGTAACAAAGTATTGGGGTTGGTGTAAGGGACAGATAATGGCGTATCGAAAGAATGCAGGGTACTTGGTTAAATTTGCAGATATAATAGACACTAATGGAAATGTTGCTGAAGGGTGGTCGGACTGGATAGAAGATTTAAAGAGTAATGACGTCCGTCTAATAGATAAGTGAATTAGCATTTGCATGTTAACAGTTTGGTAGTTGAGTTGACGTTCTATTTTCCTGTTAAACAAAGTATTTAAAAAATAAGGCGTTACCCAGTTTTACATGCAAGAACCCTGAATCCAGGCACTCGGGTATATATTATACCCTATGCACTATATTTTCTTGGAGATAAACTTAATATGCATGGTGTTTTTACATGTTAAATTTACCGGAAGTAACTTCAAATATAGCATTTTTGTCGCGATAAACTGATTAGCATTGCCTTACTCAATATCACTTTTGTTTAATTTATTAAAGGTCCAGACACACCGGATGCGATTCGACCACGCGACGCGATTTTTCGATTTCACTGACCGATAACTTTGATCCTAGTTTAAATTTAGTTCCAAATGTTTAGAAGCGTTATGACATTTTGAGTTATTTGGTCTACAAATTTTTAAAATTTGCTCTCATTGGCTGTTTTATTAACTTTCAAAAACTAAAAAATCGCATTGCGTTGTCGAATCGCGTCCTGACCTTAACATGCAGCCAAAAGGGACATCAAGGTGAAGTTTTTCTCCAAGAAAATATATTGCATTTTGTCTTACAAAAGTGTACTGAATACAGCGAAACCCACCATAAAAGAACTAGTGGGTTAAGAATTATGCAATCACTTAGAGATTTAAAACTGTAGACTAGGAACAATTATTTTTGACTGGAAATAAAAATCAGTTTAGTCAGCGGAGATTTGGCCGTAATTAGCCATTCCGAAGTTGATGACGAGTGTTAAAAAGTGACGAGTGCCCAAATTAAGAAATGAACTAAATCAGAGTGAACAACATCTCGAAATTAATCGGTATACACGTCGTTTGATGACGTTTGGATATACAGTGACTGAATATTGAGCTTTCAAAAATTGTGAAATTACTGATTAAAAATAGTGTTTTTGGGACGCGCGTCCAAAGAACTACGCACACTGCACACTTTTTACAGGTAAACTACGTGAAGCGTTCCTCTTCTGAGTTCCAAAGTTGATTGCAATTTTCGTCATTATTTAGCAAATTTGAAAAACTCACTTGCAAATCCCTTGAAATTTTCCTCAGTTCCTGATAGAAGCTCTTAACTTCCTGTTACAAGTTCCTAACTTCCTGTTCTGTTCTGTGCGTTGCAATTGGCAAACAAAAATAATCCACCAATGATAACGCTCAGAACAGAACAGAACAGGAAGTTAGGAAAATTGAAAGGAACTTTATTTGCGTTGGAATATTGCAACGGCCGACAGGAAAATTGCAAATTCCCTAGAGGGTCTAGGGATTTGCGAAGATTTTTTCAAATTTGCAAATCTAATTTTGAAAGTTCCAAATGAGTTAGGAACACAAAAGAGGAACGCTTCACGTAGTTTACCTGTAACAGTAACACTCGTCCCTATACAGGGTGTCTAAAAAAACGCTACGGAAATTCAACAGACTGTTGTGCATCATAAACTTAACTAAACAGTTTAATTTTTACATAGGATGAAAGAGCTATTATTTAGATTTTCTATGATACCTTTCTTAAACCGTAACGATGAGAAATGGCCACATACTCGTCAAATAAAAATTGTCGGTCGAAATCACATTCTTCCACCGTTGGGTATTGAAAGTACATTAATTATGCAAAGTTAATCAATCCAAAAGCAACGCGAGGCTTCTGCAAGGTACTTGTTTCGTAAAACGTTTTGATTACGAATTTTCTCTGTTCAGTGGTTAATGGAACCATGTTTAATGCAATAATGGACGTTCTTATGGTCTCATTGAGACAAAGGTGGACGAGTTGAGCTTATTTTAGATAATTTAACATTAATTTTAATTCCCTCTTGGGAATTGTTTATTGTTCGTTTTCCTTGCAATTCCCAACGGTGGAAGAATGTTATTTCGACCGGCAATTTTTATTTGGCGAGTATGTGGCCATTTCTCCTCGTTACGATTTAAAAAGAGTATCTTTGAAAAGCTAAATAACTGTTCTTTCGTCCTATGTAAAAATTGAATTGTTTAGCCACGTTTATGATGCACGAGTCAGCCTGTTGAATTTCCGTAGCGTTTTTTTTTAGACACCCTGTAGTCCTCTGATCAGCTTTGGAATGGCTAATTCAGGCAAGCTCGCTGATTATGGCTAAAGCTCGGCTGGCTAGAGCCAGTAAGAACCACTTCAGCCTAATTTTTTGCGTAGTATTCATCCAGATGATCTTGATACGCGGAAAAGTACTGGCACTAGTTGTCAAATAGAAATCCATTTCGTGACTAAACAACTGAATATCTCCTGTAATATACTTTATTTCGATTCCATATTTTTGTCAGAGCTATAGTTCTCATAACCAAACATAATTACAAAATTTCAACTAGTTTCATAAAGAATAATGAAAGATATAATTGACTGAATACATCAAAATGGATTTCTATTCGGACAACCCTTTCTGAGCGCTGATTGGCTATAATACGAATACGAGATCACCTGGATTATACAGCCTGAAATCAGGGGTTTAGCTGGGATAAACCCGAGACGTTAGAAGTGACGCGTCACGCCAGTGCAAAACAATTAATGAATAGCAATGCAATCTCGGAAACATAAGAACAAAATATACCTACTATTTCTATTGATTGAAAACTTTTAAGCGTATAAGGTCTATTTCTATTTCGGTACTTTTTGAGCAAAATATAGCTAGAAAACCTTCGAAAACATACAATTGCAAGTTATAGTTATTATTAGCTCTGATGAATATCCCAACCTCGTTCCCAGGAGTTCCCAGGCTCTTCCTCTGGGAACGAGGTTGTGAAGACCAGTGGGGCTTACGGATCGAAAGCTTTGCAGTAATAATTTTACGTGGTGTTTCCACAAACAAAACTATTATATAGTTGAACTGCTTCTATTACGCACGGGAGACTCGATTAATATACGCAACTTTAAACTTGTATACATTTTGTTATTATAACCTTTTGAATCTTGGTATTTCATCGTAATATTAAATCCTAAGAAAACTAAAGCCTCTGCGGAGGAGAGAGAATCTTGGTAATGTGTTTACTGTGCATGACATTTTATGCCAATAACTAATGGCGTAAATTTGAAGAGCGAGAGTTTTTTACTGTGACATTTTATGCCAAAAACTAATGGCGTAAATTTGAAGGGAAAAAGTTTATTTACTGTAACATTTTACGCCAATAACTAATGGCGTAAATTTGAAGCGCGAAAGTTTATTTGCTGTGACATTTTATGCCAATAACTGCAGGCGTAAATTTGAAGCGCCAAAGCTTATTTACTGTGACATTTTATGCCAATACTTAATGGTTTAAATTTGAAGCGGCAAAGCTTACTTACTGTAACATTTTACGCCAATAACTAATGGCGTAAATTTGAAGCGAGAAAGTAGTTTATTCACTGTAACATTTTATGCCAATAACTAATGGCGTAAATTTGAAGTGCGAAAGCTTATTTACTGTGACATTTTACGCCAATAACTAACGGCGTAAATTTGAAGCGACAAACTTTATTTACTGTGACATTTTATGCCAATAACTAATGGCGTAAATTTGGATCACAATACATTGTATACTGTGACATTTTACGCCAATAACTAATGGCGTAGCTTTGAAGCGAGAAAACTTGTGTACTGTGACATTTTACGCCAATAACTAATGGCGTAATTTTGAAGCGAGAAAACTTATTTACTGCGACATTTTACGCCAATAACTAACGGCGTAAATTTCCCAGGTATAAGTTTGTATAAATATATCTATATAAATTATTTACAAACTGCGTCACTGGCTTAAAAATTCACAGTATATATATACTATAGGCTATATATAGCATATCTATATAAATTATTTACGAACTGCGTCACTGGCTTAAAAATTCACAGTATATATACTATATATATAGCATATCTATATAAACAAGACGCCTGCTCAGGCGTTCACACTGGCCTGAAAATAACGAGATACGTGCTATGGTGCAAAAGGCAGGAATACAAATCTCAAACCACAAGTAAATTTTATGGACTTTTTAAAAAAATAAAAGATCTTTTCGGGAGACGTAATGGTGCAAATCTATTACTAGGAGTTACTATCGCAAGGAAAGTGCTGCCTTTATGGCGTATAAACTGAATGCAAAAATTTATACTTCTAGACAATTCTCGGTTATATTATTTATCCCCAATGTTTCCTTCTCGTTTATCATTTAAGCCCGTTCACAAACTCATTCTTAAATTGTGTGCACGGAATACGAGTAAATAGCCAACATGAAAATGGAGCCATTGGGTCAAAAGTGGACATTAAGGTCTATTAACCTATTAGCTGACAATGCAATTTAGTATTAACTCTGGCTAACGCCAGACCAATTTACACTGTAACGCCAGACGATTTTACTTGTTAGTGGCAGAGTACTGTCAGTACATGGGTTAACAAACACATCTGACATTGGTCTCTTATTAACCCATTAACAGGCAATGCACCGGTAGTACAGGTAACTCTTCAGAATTTGCTTAGAGTTAATGTGAATAAAATACATCTTGTATTCAAGCGCTTTCATGTACAAAGTTTCGTTTGAATACGGCACAGTTAGGAATATTTATTTTGAATTTTTCAAATTTTTGAATTTGGTTTTTACTCGCACGCACGTTTATAGCTCGATTGATGCACATGCAAATCATGTCGACCTACAGAATCGATTTCCGGTTTTTCGTAAACAGCGCGTTGTTTTGATCGCCGCGCTAAAAATATAAATATTCTGTAAATACCGAAATAAAAGATGAAAATCCCAAGACACAAGCTTGAAAATAACACTATAAATAGTGAAATCTGCTGTGCTGGTGTATATGGCGCGGTAGATTGGACAAATCGATGACTTTGTCTTTTAGATGATCATGTGCACATTTAATACGATGACTGTGCACGTTTAATATGATTACAGTGTACATTTAATAT